GCTAACAGAAATTTTAGTTTGTCCGCAGACTTAGCGCAATAATTTGGTGCGTTGATTTTTTTATTTTTTATTTTTCTTCCTTTTACATAGCCTGCCTTGCAATTCAGCATCATATAGACATATATTATTACTGCTGTTGTTATTTATTAGTTTTGTCTTTGCTGTTATTGTTTAATAATCTCTTTAGTACTATTCACGCTCATTATTTGTCTTTATTGTCTTTACTAATTATTATTCTTATTGCTGCTGCGGGCCCAGCATATGCGTACTTTGCGTCAACCTTACATAGCGTTTATTTCAATAATAATTACTATAATTATTACTTATTATTAGTTATTGTTCTTGATTATTTTAAGTAATTGTTATTGTTAATTAGTATTATTATTGCCGCTACAGGCCAAGCATCTGCGTACTTTGCGTCATCCATGCTTCGCATTTACTTGCATTATTATTATTACCATTATTATTATTAGTATATATGAATTATAATAATTAGCTAATTAAGTATAATCAATTAATTATAATTAATTGTTATAATTATTATTATGGCTGCTACAGGCCCAACGTTTGCGTACTTTACTCCATCCATGCATCGCATTTTCTTGCATTAATATTATTCTTAATATTTACGAATTATAATTAATTAATTAATTAATTAATTAATTAATTAATTAATTAATTATAATTAATTATAGTAATAATTATTATTGCTTCTGCAGGCCCAACATTTGCGTACTTTGCGTCATCCATGCATTGTGCGGTTTATTGACTACGTGGAGACAGCAGATTCGATTTTCATAGTTCAGGAGTATATGCAAGGAGGAGAATTATTTTATAAAATAGTAGAAAAAGGGTGTCTCTCTGAAGAACAAGCTTGCTTCATTGCTCATCAAGTTCTTGCTGCTATTGTCTTCATGCATAGCTGTAAAGTTATTCACAGGTAAACAATATTCTTTCTCTACCTGTGGCGCTATCCACCCCTTCACAGATATATATATATATATATTTATGTATATTTATATTTATATTTATATATATGTA